GGGTCCCCAATTGAATGCAGAAACAAACGCAAACACGAACACAAATTTTCCGACCCCAGTAAAACATTGTAGATCCGCTCCGGTGAACTTTGAGTGAAAGAGACAGCATGGTATCATCCATTTTAAAGTTTCCTCAGACCCTGGTCCTTCCCCGGTACGTGTCAAAGGAGGCACGTCTTCATTAAATTAGCTCAACCCTATATTTCTCACCGACAACGTCAAGCTTCTTGTTTTCTCGTACTATCTCATCAACCACGGATGTGATGGTGTCTTCTTTGGTGACATCAAGTTTACGGATGAACAACTTTTTATTGAGAGAGTCTCCGGCAGCCCTTTCCAGGTGCTCTCTCTGATCAAGATCAATCACCGTTGCATAAACCTAAGAATTAAACATCTCATATCCGTATTAATAAGCACCACACCTTTGCAAAATCCAAAAGTTGTCAAAAGTAAAATAAATGTTATGGACTACCATTGACCTTGCTTGCATTTCACTCCACTCATTAAGCGTGTATAATGCACTGATGAACTACCTGTTTGTACTTGAGTCTATTCTTGAGTATTGTTTTGCCCTTGTAAACATTCAGTGATAAACATCGTTAATGGGTATTTGTCTCAGAGCTTAGTTGTTTGAGACCGACACACTAACTCAATGTTTGCTCGTTGTATCTTAATTGTGTACCCATAAACTATGTGTAGACTCACCTTGAAGTCATGCTTTGACGTAGTAGCAAGATACACTGCCTCAGCTAACCCCATTCCTGAGGAGCATCCTGTAATAAGAACAACCATGGGTGCCATGCTGTTAATTCAATTTGCACGTACGAATATAATTGATTCCCAGGTAGGCCTACAGAGGTCTTCTGTTCCTTTATATTCCAGAAAGAGCAACCTTTGATTTTGTCTTTCAGCGTGATATAATGCAAGCAGTACGATGGTAATGTTGTTTAATGGACTGCATACTGTTTAGCTAGATAACACTGGAAAATCAGATGGACTTCTGCCCCTTGATAAACAAGAACCAAATTTTACTTGGACAGAAATTTTACGTATGGATGATAATGTTAAATATAAAAACATTGTTGAAACAGTGCAAAGGTTCGAAGCAGTATTTTAGGAAACTGACAGGTTCTCTTCAAATGTCTGTTTAAATTTGCAATGTTAACACACTTTTGAAATACATCAAGTATATTCAATCACAGCTGTATTAAAGTTTCATCCGAGGGAATAAAACTAAGTTTTAATGACACTTAAGAAGACCATAATAGTACTTATCTCAGACCAAATCCACGTTAGGATTAAAGTCAAATAATGGTATTTTCCCTAATTTGCAAGGTAATACATGTAGTTGTATCCCATTTCATGGCTTTTGGAAATTATTTCCATACAATTTTAATTTTAGACTCAAGTGCGTAGAATTTTCTCGTTTGAGGTAACTTAAAAAGGTCTTCTTTACAGAATAAACAAATGCTTAAAGGCGTCTGCATCGCAGTGTCTTACAAATCTTGACTGCCCATGCCTTTCGTCTTCACGTAACATAAATTACATAATATATAATCAGATATTTTTCATATGTTTAAACACATTATATACATTCCGTTGGATAAAGTCACGTTAAGGCCCAGTGTTAAATAGCCTTATCCAATGTTGAATAACCTTATCCAGTGATGCATTGGGTAATGTTATTTTGAAACAGTTTGAAGGTTAAATGATGATCAGGGGTGTGCAAAATTTTGAGAAAAGAAAAGTCACCCGTTATAACTTGCAATCTTTTAAAGTCTTATTGTATACAAGTATTATTTGAGCATTTGAAAGAGACATTTCATAAAGCAATGGCTGTCTTTCCTTCGCCGACTGCAAAGAATCCTGAACGCGTATACGTACATTGCTTTCACTCACTGTGGTGGAGCCTTTTCATTGACACCCCTTGCACAAAACAAAGATGAAAAAAATGATCTATTCAAAGAAACATTTTATTAAAGTAGCATCAAAGACCTAATTTTCACCCTGTAGTTGTCCACAAGTAAATCCACTGGTTCTACGCGATTAGTTTTAGAGCTCAATGAAAGAGTACATGGTTATCGCTAAGGAAATATTTTCATGGTGTTTGGGTCAGGCACCTGGTTGAAGCAGGGCGCCAAAATTCAACACTTAATTTAGGCGCCTACTGAGTCCAAGACCTCCCTGTAGGTTATTCTGCGATCATTAAACTGTCACACTGTTTAAGTACAGGGCGACCTGCTTTCACAAAAGTACCCAAATGAAAATAGCGCCCCCTGTAGTGCAATTATTCCATTTCGGTTGAAAAGGTTAAAGCAAGTCTTGAACCCTGCTGATGCGAGCACTCTTCGGTTTGCAGTCATATAATTCAAGTGAGAATTTCTGGCCAGCTCATTAGCATTAAAAGTGCCCCCCACAGTATCTTTTGAAAAAGGAGACTGTTTGGCCCCCCAAATGGTGAGATTGTGTAAATTCTTGCCACGATCAACTTCATGGGTGTTTGGGCTTTCATTTTTTAGCAGAATGACTGAAAAAATACGGTTGAAAATTGTAAGTGACCGAGAAAGTTGAGGGCTTGCCACTTGAGAAATGGCTGAACGCAGACTTGAACTATCCCTTTTAGGGGGTGGGTTTTTGTGTGCGAAATTTAAAAATCCAGGGGTAAACCCCTCAGAATTGAAAAGAAATAGAAAGATTTAGGACCGAACAATAATTCAATTTTTGTTCAAGAAATCTCAGGGATGTTGGCTTGCACGTTATTGAGCCTTCTAAGAATTTCGATCGTACACTGTTTTCAATGGGGCTGAAATTAGTGGACAGCACTCAATTCGAAATGAGACACGTCCGAATGTTGGTGGTGCGTTTCTTTGGTCATCTCTGCCGCAGGCTCCCAAAAAAGTGATCGGAGCGTATACGCCAAAGCTCTTACAACAGTTTCCTTACGACACAACAGTTCTTTTCATCCTCGTATAGTTATAGACATTTTCCTTTTACAGTTGGTACATGTATAAACCATTTGCATTCGCTATAATTTTTCAAACTTGGCTGCTTTCGAGTTTAATTTCTTTGTGTATCATTCCATTGACGTGTTATTTTTTTAGTTTACTGCTTCTAGAAAAATTGGTCAAAACACTCCTCGTTTTTAAAGGCTGTTTATAGGATTTGCAAGACCTCAAAAACGGGACTGTCGAATATTGTCTTGAAATATCTCAGTGTAAGTAAGTACGTAATAGTGTCACACACTGTAAAATCTTGCCGCCAGGAATGCTGTCATTGTCGAAAAAGATTGTCCGGACGGACGATCTTTGGAAAATACAATTCGTTCAAATATACCGCAACCATTAACGGGCGCAAAAAGCATTGAGCTGTTGGCAGAGTCTATATTAACGGGTAATATACAGACTGCCAACGCGCTTTCGGCACGCCTAAACTCATTGTTAACAAATAAAATATATATGTGACCGTATCAAACACATTAAAAGAGAATTTGGGCTTGTTTGAAATTAAAGTTTCGTTATGAAACTTTGGAAGTTTACCTCACGTTAATATATCATCGCGGTCCCACCCTTTAAGATAATGATATGGTCCAAATCGATGATGACCGGTCCTTCGGAGCTCCACAGCGAAGCCGGTTGTTCTCGAACAAAATCTCAAATGTCGAGACATTTAGCTTTCTGCTTTTCCAATCACAACAACTTTTATGACCAAATTGCAAGGATAGTTACCACATTGTTTATTTATGAAGTGCTTATGATGGGCACTGACGGTGTGTTGACGGTTTTTGAAAGACATGAAAACATACATGTACTTGGTCGGTCGTGCATGTGTACTGTACCTGTACAGTGTACATTGTGGTCGTGCAGTGACTTTGGTGACTGCAGTCAATTCACTGAACGATGAAACGTTTATTTGACAAATTCTCGGCGTTGCGTTGTTGAAAAGGACACACAGACATGCAGGTAAATTTGCCAACCACTACTTCTATGTGAAGCCATGGGGAAAAATGTATTTTGAGGGCCATAATTGGTCTGCAGATCAACGTCCTGTGGCCCATGGATTTTTGTGAGACAAATTACACGAGCTGGGCTTTGAGTGTTAAAAATGAACAGCGTTTTTCTCGATTCTTCTCCAAGCAGTGAATTAAAAAAAATGAACTATAAAAAAGTGAAATTATATACAAAGTAAGTCACAAACCGTCAAATCCGCCAATTTTGACAAATTACAGTACATTCGAATCCTATACTTTGCCTTTAAGTGTCTAGAAATGGCGGGTTTTGTTAAAAAAAAACCACAGGCTTCGCCACTGAGCCCGAAAAGGGGCGACCATGTTGCACATTGCTGGTCGCCCTTCGGATCATACCACCATCGTAGGGGGTTATACTGAAATGATGTTTTCGCATGTGGTGAACTCTTTCATCATAAAAATTACAAACCAATCCAAATCTCTGTATGGCTGCTTTGTTGTTTTGAAGATACTTTGGCAGTCCCGTTTTTAAGATTAAACAATGGTGTAGCCAAATACCACCTTTAATAACTGAAGAAATGTCATATAGGCGGTAGTACAAATTGTTTGGTACAGTGGCCCATCAGTAATACATTTATGGAACGTACATTCCAGTACCGCAGTCTAAATCACGCGCACATCACATTGATTGTGCTTGAGGTTATTAAACACATGTAATTCAATCAGAGGTGATAGGTTGCATGATTGCTGTTGGATTTCATTGCCTTATGTGTAAAGTGCTAAGTTCAATAAGGTGCCATGCGTTATACATACGTTAAAGTCCTGTTGTGACAATGTGGTTGGGTGCTTGCTGCTTTATTGTCAGCGAGCAACTGTACTAAAATCATTGGTGCCATTTTCTTTTACGATTTCTTTGTCATTCCGCTCTCCGTCCGAGAATGGGGTACAAGATGACCTTGACCGACAGTTGAGAATATTTTTATGTTGGATCATGTAAAATACAGGTGTAAATGTGTGGTTCAGGAAAATTTGAAAGGAGTTATCGAAGGGAGATGCTTGTTTCAATGTTTTGCATTCTAATCTACTTTCAAGAGGCAAGGGAATTTGTCCCTGTTCACCACATTTACTCAGCCCATTTGTTGTAACAGCCTGGGCAAGCAAATATTAAAGCGTTCTTAACTACTTTGATCATAGCACTCATTCGTGTATCAGTCACAGCACGATGGTAACTACAGCCGTCATATTTAATCTGCTCCCGAATAACGTCCCCATCAAAACTAGGCAGGTGACGGCCAATGGGTCCGACCGTGTTAACTCAATTTTATCCGCGAACCTAACTCGGATAAAACCCTTGCACCACTCAAAGATCTCCGGTGAAACTAATTTAACGGAGCGGCTCTTTTACAAAAAGAACGCCGCCAAAATTTAGCTAATTATGTTGTTTCTACACACTCAGTGGGGGGCGCTGTCTGATCAGACTTCAGGCGGCATGCCAGTACTCAATGGTGTCAGTTTCACTTTTTGTGTCAAAGTAGACCAACATGCAAGTATCACAGGGGAAAGCTGAAGAAAATATCTCTCGGTCTGAAATTGCATTCCTCGTTTGAAATCACATTACAGTGGAGTCACACTGTGGAGGTGTAGCAGTGGTTTTGTTTTGTGTGTGTTTTTTTTCTTGGGGGGATATCTTTGCTATTTTTCTGCACTTTTGAGCTTAGGCCTTCTCCAAGCATGTTTGATATGCAGCTTCCGCACAGACCAAAATACGTCCCAGAGTGTACAGTTTGAAAATATCAAGGTCTACATATCTCCATTAAGTAGGATGGTCATTTGAATG